CCTGTTTAAAACACCCAGATATTCTCATGACAAAACCGAGCGCTTTCGAAGCCTTAGCTATTATTTGATCAATATGGATATCGAACCGAAGTCTTGCATCATGATAAACACCAAGATCTCGCACTCCGTCACACCTTTGCAGAACCTGACCCTTCAGCTCGTATGGATGAATCATCGGGAACCGCTTTCTACTAAAAGTAATCACTGAGCATTTTGCGGGATTCAGGTCAAGTTTATTCAACTGGCAATACTCATCCAGGCGCTTTAAGTCATCCTGGAGAGCCAGCATGTCTTCCACCGATGTTATTTTGGAGTAAATCTTCATGTCGTCGGCAAAAATAAGAAGATTAGAGCTATGGAAGCAGAGGTCAATGTCATTCACGTATAAGATGAAAAGTAGGGGGCCAATTAGAGATCCCTGCGGAACACCGCTTGGAATCTTGACCCAGCTAGATATGTAGTTATTGACTACGACAGATTGAGACCTGTTTTCTAGGTAGGATGCAAACCATCTGAGTAAGTCACCGCATATACCAATACGATATAGCTTAGTTTTAAGGATATTATGGTCAATTCTGTCGAAGGCTTTGCTATAGTCGGTATAAATGACATCAACCTGTGCCCCTCCATCCATACTGTCAGTCAAGTAGTCATTTAGTAAGATCAAGTTCGATACTGTGGAGCGACCCTTCAGGAAACCATGTTGCGTGGGACTAAACGAGCTCCTAACCTTTCTATTTAACAAATCATTATCTTCCCGAGTTGTTCATTAAGAATCGCAGTAACTTATTACCATCTGTATTTTATTGGATTGGGTGAGAGCAGTGACACGGCTCAATTTTTTGAAACTAAACTTTGTATTTTTATCAGCAGAATTGTTAACTTTGGTTTAAGGATAATGACGCTATTAATTTTTTGTATTTTTTTTTTGGAGAATCACTCATTTATTTATATTATGGCATCGAGCATTTCTTTCTTTATTGAAACAGAGTTTCCTTTTTCTTGTATAGAAGCACTATTTTTATGGATTGTCAGTATGCATATGTGAGCACCATGTTAGACTATAAGATTGCTTTTTATTATTTTAGTAAGGTTTGTAATTAGTACCTATAATGCGTCAAGCGTGTCTTTGCATTGTTCTCACATATGCGTACAGTATTGAAATATTTATCAGAGACATTGTAGAACATACTTTTTTAAAAAAGAGTAACGAATGGAGTTTCTTGCTCGTTCTTCTCCATTCGAATCTACATTTTGGAATGAGCACCTAGCTTCACCTAGCTGCACTGACGGATTGACTGACAGACTATTATTTATTTTGTATTTGTTGACGTTTCAAAAGTACCAAATTATGGTTTAATTGAAATAAATGCTTTGACTTTGATAAAAGACAGCCGTGTGGTGACGGCAAAGTGCAGTCTGTTTGTCACCACCTCTACTCTCTCACGGGTGACGTAACAAAAGAGACCTGCGTCGTCCTGCGGGTTGTGCTGCTATAGTTGTGCGACAGTTATTGATTATTAGCTACTTCCGCGCGGCTTCACCCGCTCTGTCCGGTGCTTATTAATCGTACCGTGATTTTCAATAGCCTTCTTCGATAAATGGACTATTCTCAATTTTTTTTTCTAATCGGCTCAGTTCCCGAGGTTAGCGCGTTCAAACGAACAAACTCTTCAGCTTTGTGAGGGTAATAGTAATAAGATGAAAATAAATTATTCATGATATTAATTATAACTAATCAAATTATTATTATTTTTTTTTTCATATTGACATTATGTGGCAGGCCCATCCGCGGTATGTCGGCGGTGGTGATGGGCGCGGGCCCGGCGCACGCCTGCTTCTTCGCCACGTACGAGTACTGCAAGCACTCGCTGGCGCAGCTCACCCGGCACCGCCACGACCACATCACTCACGGTCAGTCTCTCCTCGCGCTGGACTAGTCGGCTCGCTCCGCGCTCACCGCGCTGGACTAGTCGGCTCGCTGCGCGCTCACCGCGCTGTACTAGTCGGCTCGCTCCGCGCTCACCGCGCTGTACTAGTCGGCTCGCTCCGCGCTCACCGCGCTGTACTAGTCGGCTCGCTCCGCGCTCACCGCGCTGTACTAGTCGGCTCGCTCCGCGCTCACCGCGCTGTACTAGTCGGCTCGCTCCGCGCTCACCGCGCTGTACTAGTCGGCTCGCTCCGCGCTCACCGCGCTGTACTAGTCGGCTCGCTCCGCGCTCACCGCGCTGTACTAGTCGGCTCGCTCCGCGCTCACCGCGCTGTACTAGTCGGCTCGCTCCGCGCTCACCGCGCTGTACTAGTCGGCTCGCTCCGCGCTCACCGCGCTGTACTAGTCGGCTCGCTCCGCGCTCACCGCGCTGTACTAGTCGGCTCGCTCCGCGCTCACCGCGCTGTACTAGTCGGCTCGCTCCGCGCTCACCGCGCTGTCTGTTGCAGGTCTGTCGGGCTGCATCGCGTCGCTGGTCCACGACGCGGTCTCCAACCCCGCCGAGGGTGAGTGCTCCTCTACCACACTACATTACTTGCTTTTTGCCCCTGCTACATTATCACTGCTGCCAACTGACTTGCATCCTGCCATCTACTGTCATTATCAACTCACGATAGTAAGCCTGTGTTAATGCTGTCCGTGTCGCACTCCTCACGCGTGTGCTGTGATACAGAGCTACTAATGTGAATACAGTTTAGTGGACCAAGCTAGACAGTTGTAGTATTCGTAAATGGGTATTGTACAGTAGCTCTGTCAAACAGCGAGCTAAGGTTCACTCCGCACTACTTCATTGACACAGGCGTCGATGTGTAACTGGTTTGCTTTAGTCAGCTGGCAAACGTTCTGCTCGGTGCTCGTATGACCTTGAGGCCAACTGTGGCTTGACAACTATTTCCTCTGATAATAAAACCATTGAAAATACAATCCCGCCGCGAATGTAGATCCCCGCATCATAGCAAAATTAGATTGTATAAATTTAATTATTGACAGAATGTTCCTGAATAATTAACTGAAAGTCCAGCGATTGTTTGCGCGTCGTCCAGTCTGTCCGCGTGTTCACGTCCCGAGCTCTGCTCTGTGGCCTCCACGAGCCCACATATCACCAATCTTCCTGTTGGTGTGTCGTAAATTATCAGAGGTCTCCACAGTACGTCTCATTTTCACAAACATTTTTCCTTTTCAGACGTCATCTGTCACTAATTCTATTTACATTTAAATTCACTTTAGCCGTTTTGTGATTTGATAGTTCTCGTGTAACATTTGGTATTTAAAATGAAGTTTCATCAGAGATATGGTAGTGATTAAATCGTGTAAAAATATCGATTGAATTATCTAACCGATAAAATGTACATACAAGAATAAATCGATTAGGCGCACAAAATGAAACTATTTATTATTGTCAAAATGAAAACATGCAGTCGTTTCGGTGGCTACTGACATCCTGCTGGTAATGGAGGCCCATCTTGCTAATTTCGTATGCAATACTTTAGTACACACATTGCACTGTCACATGCCATCCAGTAGCACGTCGGTCACAGTCGCCCTGTAGTCCGTGTTGCGTGTGTGCAGTGGTGAAGCAGCGCATGCAGATGCTGCAGTCGCCGTACCGCGGCGTGTGGGAGTGCGCGCGCCACGTGTACCGCAGCGAGGGCGCGCGCGCCTTCTACCGCTCCTACGGCACGCAGGTGGCCATGAACGTGCCCTTCCAGGCGCTGCACTTCGCCACCTACGAGGCCTGCCAGGCGCGCCTCAACCCCGCGCGCGCCTACGACCCGCTGGCGCACGCGCTGGCCGGCGCGGCCGGCGGCGCGCTGGCGGCGGCCGCCACGACGCCGCTGGACGTCTGCAAGACCGTGCTCAACACGCAGGAGCGCGCCGCGCGCGCCGACGGGCTGCTGGACGCCGCCGCCACCGTGCTGCGCGCGTCCGGCCCGCGCGGCTTCTTCAAGGGCGTGCAGGCGCGCGTGCTGTACCAGATGCCGGCCGCCGCCATCTGCTGGCTGACGTACGAGACCTTCAAGCACGTGCTGGGCGGCGCCGGCGAGGACGCGCCGCCCGCGCCCGCGGCGCCGCCGCTGGCC